CACACTGGAGCCACTGGCGTCGGGTCATGACCAAGTCAACCTGACTGCACAGTCTGTGTGTAGAAGAACAGGATTTCCTTTCTATGTTTCGTACCTTACATATTTTTTCTAAAATTTGGTAAAAAGTGAAGAGTATCAGGGTCAGTTGCTTTAGCAGTTATCTGCAGGACACCATGGTGAAAGGACAAGTTCAAAAGTATAGTGCCCACTGCCATCACACGTAAAATAAAGCAGCATCGGGATAACTGCCAGCAGCCAGGGCATCACTCGGAAATGTGCTCATGGTGTCCATAGTATAAATGTAATTAGCAGAGGTAACTCGGGGTGTGTGCACGCAGAAAAGGGTAAGGGGAGGAAAAATGTGAATGGAAAGACACTTGACTTCACATTGTAAACACACAGTACAATACTGCCACAATGTCTTATAAAATAGTACACTTGAAACTTATATAATTTTATTAACCAACGTCACTCTAATGTATTAAAAAATTTTGAAAACTTTAAATGTATAAAGAATCCGATTTTCTAACTGAGTAATTTTATTCAGTGCACATCTCAAAAAAACCAGTGGTGTTTATTAGGGACCCTCATTTAGATGGTGTTTTAAATAAAAATGATTACAAAATAACCCAGGGATAGTAGCTACACGTAAGAACTTAACATACAAATCTCTTAGATAAAAATATATAGTTAAATCTTCATGACCTTCAATTTGTCAGATTTTTAGATATAACAATAGAAAACTCAAAGATAAAATAATAGAAATTAATCTTCATTAAAATTTATACATTTTGCTCCCAAGGACACTATCACAAAAGTTAAAATACATTCTATCAAATGGGAAAAAATAATTGCAATCCACAGATCTTTTTAAGGGTCTTGTATCCTTAATATTTGAAAAATTCCTGCAACCCAAAAACAAAAAACAAAGAATACAAATAACACAGTGTCAATTCTCCCTTTATGTCCATCGATATTTGCTTTCTACGTTCAGATGTTTGCTGCACAAATGTTGGAAGAAAGAGAAAGATAGAAACATCAATGTGATAGAGCATTTGTAAAGTTCCTCCCCAGTATATATTATTTTTTCATACAGAGAAAGGCAGCTTTTAAAGACTGTCTTTAAAAGCTTTGACAGCCCTATCAAGTTTGTGTAGAACAACAGGATTTCAAGTTTGGCTCAGCAGTTGAGCGTTGGCCTGCAGACCAGAGAGTCCTGGGTTCGGTTCCCGCTAGGGGCACGTACCAACAAAAAATAAAATGAAAATAAAAGCTTTGACACATGATTTACATATTAAAGGATCTCTCAATTATAATTTGTCTTCTGTCAAGTAGGGTATCAGTTATAAAAGTTTGGCCGCATTGTCCACATGTATAAGGATCCTGCCGAGAACGGGCTATTTCAGGATTACTAAGGTATAAGTGGAAAAACAAAGTTTTTCCAAAATAGTTAAATCTGTATACTGTATTTCTCCACTAGGAATGATCTAATGATGAATAAATTATGAATAGTGATAAAAGGCTTTGTCACATTCTATACATTTGTACCATGTGCATTACAGTGAAATCTCTGAAGTTTATTAATTTCTGAGGTGCCAATAAAGGCTTTGCTACATTTTCTACATTTGTAAGGCTTCTGTCTAGAATGAAGCATGTGATGTCTGGTAAGTTTCCACGTAAGTTTCCACTGCCAATGAGAGGCTTTAGCACATTCTGACATCTACATCTCTCTCCAGTATGAACTGTGTCAAATACAATGAGACATGAATGGTGTTCATAAGATTTGCAAAATTGTACACATTCCTAAGGCTTCTCTCCAGTATATATTTTGTGTGCCGGTAAAGGACTGTACCACACTCCTTACATCTGTAAAATTTATCTCCGGTATGAACTTTTCTAATGTCCCAAAAGTTTGAACACTCATTAAAGGCTCTGTCACATTATGTACATTCAAAAGGATTATCTTCACCATGAATTCCCTGAGGTGCAGCAAGGTTTGAGGAATGCCTAAAGGCTTGCCACATTCTTTACCTTTGTACAGATTGTCCTACGTGTGAATTATCTGACGCTGATTAACATCTGAGCAGCACCTGAAAGCTTTGCCTAATTTACCATGTTGGTAAGGTTTTTCTACAGTAAAAATGCTCTGATGGGGATTAAGTTGTGAAGGCCTCCGGAAGCCACTGCCACATTCATTGCATTCATGGCTTCTCTCCAGTATGAATTTTCTGATGTAGATTAAGGTGTGAAGACCTCCCAAAGTATTTGCCACATTCATTGCATTTATGAGGCTTCCCTCCAATATGGATTTTCTGATGGCGATTAAGTTGTGAAAACATCCTAAAGGCTTCGCCACATTGACTGCATTTATAAGGCTTCTCTCCAGTATGAATTTTCAGATGGCGACAAAGGCTTGAAGACGTCGTGAAGGCACTGCCATATTCATTGCATTTATGAGGCTTCTATCCAGTATGAATTTTCTGATGTAGATTAAGTAGTGAAGGTCTCCCAAAGGCACTGCCACAATCTTTGCATTTATGAGGCTTCTCTCCAGTATGAATTTTCTGATGTAGATTAAGTTGTGAAGACCTCGCGAAGGCATTGCTACAATCTTTGCATTTATAAAGCTTCTCTCCAGTATGAATTTTTTGATGGCGAGTAAGGTTTGAAGACGACCTGAAGGCAGTGCCACATTCATTGCATTTATGAGGTTTCTCTCCAATATGAATTCTCTGATGGCAATAAAGGTTTGAAGACATCCGGAAGTCACTGCCACAATCTTTGCATTTATAAGGTTTCTCTCCAGTATGAATTGTCCTATGTACATTAAGGTATGAAGAACTCCCAAAGGATTTGCCACATTCTTTGCATGTATAAGGCTTCTCTCCAGTATGAATTTTCTGATGTACATTAAGGTTTGAAGATGTCCTGAAGTCCCTGCCACATTCATTGCATTTATGAGGTTTCTCTGCTCTATGAGTTTTCTGATGTAGATTAAGGTATGAAGACCTCCCAAAGGATTTGCCACATTCTTTGCATGTATAAGGCTTCTCTCCAGTATGAATTTTCTGATGTAGATTAAGGTGTGAAGACCTCCCAAAGGATTTCCCACATTCTTTGCATATATAAGGCTTCTCTCCAGTATGAATTTTCTGATGTAGATTAAGGTTTGCAGTGTTCCCAAAGACTTTGCCACATTCATTGCATTTATGAGGTTTCTCTCCAATATGAATTCTCTGATGGCGATAAAGGTTTGAAGACAAACGGAAACCACTGCCACAATCTTTGCATTTATAAGGTTTCTCTCCAGTATGAATTGTCTGATGTAGATTAAGGTGTGAAGACCTCCCAAAGGATTTGCCACATTCTTTGCATTTATAAGGCTTCTCTCCAGTATGAATTTTATGATGGCGAGTAAGGTTTGAGGATGTCCTGAAGTCCCTGCCACATACATTGCATTAATGAGGCTTCTCTGCAGTATGAATTCTCTGATGTAGATTAAAGTATGAAGACCTCGCAAAGGATTTGCCACATTCTTTGCATGTATAAGGCTTCTCTCCAGTATGAATTTTCTGATGTACATTAAGGTGTGAAGATTTCCCAAAGGCTTTGCTACATTCATTGCATTTATAAGGCTTCTCTCCAATATGAATTTTCTGATGGCCATTAAGTTGTGAAGACCTCCTAAAGTGTACGCCACATTCATTACATTTATAAGGCTTCTTTCCAGTATGAATTTTCTGATGGCGACTAAGAACTGAAGACGTCCTGAAGACACGACCACAATCTTTGCATTTATGAGGCTTCTCTCCAGTATGAATTTTCTGATGTCGATTAAGGTGTGAAGACCTCCCAAAGTCTTTGCCACATTCATTGCATTTATGAGGCTTCTCTTCAGTATGAATTTTATTATGGACATTAAGGTATGAGGACTCTCTAAAAGCTTTGCCACATTCTCTACCTTCATACGACGTCTCCCCCGTATGAGTTCTGTCATGTACACGAATGTATCTAAAGGAATTAAATATTTTACCACATTTATTACGTTTATAAAGTTTTTCTTTAATATGGCTTTCCGTAACACTATTTGGACTAAACATTGGACTTAAGATTCTCCCACACTGATTACTTTGGAAAGATCTCTCCCTGGTATGAATATTCTGCCATTCAGTGTGATGTGAAGATTGCTGCAAAGATCGTTTGTATGTCTTCTCCACTGTATGCATAACCTGATGTATATTTGGATTTGACATTTGGTCAAAGAGTGTTCCATCCTTATAATGGTTCTCTGGAAGGTGAGTTTTCTGACATTTATTAGGATTTGACTCTGGGTTGAAATTTTTCCCATGTGCGTTGCATTGATAACTTCGGTCTTCATTATATACACTCTGGTATTCATTGAAGACAGAAAGGCTTTTAGTGACAGATATAATTTCCTTAAACATGTACACTTATTCTGGAATAATGATTCTGTAAGGCCTATTAAACCATGATGGTATACAATCCTACGTTTAAGAAAATAACAGAAGTTCGTTTCAAAAAAATTATTCCTTAATAGTAGTATAATGACTACTTAATAAAAGAATTACTACTCATCACTTTGAAATTTCATATGTGCATTATAAATTACTAAAGTTCATAAATGACTAACTGAAAGTTTAATACCACACAACACTGTAAACAATTCTTATTATTCTTTGCAGCATCGATGACGGGAGTACTAAATTTTCCAGATTTATGATGTAATAAATGACAATAACACATTCTTTTTGGTTTTCACATTTAGAAACACACTGATCTGCAGATGTAACTGACCTAAACTGGAGCATTGCTAAATGTGTAGTATCGGTTACTTCTTTAGGTAACAAGGATTTTATTATAAACAACACTCCCAGGTTACTTCTGTCCATATTATCACACCTTCTCATCGTACACTCTTCCTCAAATACCAAGGCTCTCACTAAGTGTACATTATAAAATCCATACCTTCCATATCTTACCAGTATTATTTCAGGAAATACATCTTCCAGTTTTGGCTTTTGCAAAAAAGCCTGGTTGTCCTCAGATAAAATAGCTGAAAGATATGAAATAAAGTTTCACATTAATGATACTAAGCTGATCAAACTCATTCTCTGGCTATGTAAAAAAATCAATAAAGCCCTGGCCAGTTTGGATCAGCAGGTACACCATTGGCCTGCACCCCAGAGAGACCCAGGTCAGTTCCCGCTAAGGGCACGGACCTCAGTTTCAGTTTTTCCCCAGCACTGATTGGGTCGTGTGGGTGGCAGCCACTGGATGTGTCCCTCTCACATCGATGTTTCTCTCTCTGTCTCTCTCTCTCTCTCTCCACCTCTCTTTCCCTCCCACTCTATCTAAACAAAAAATGGAAGAAGTGTCCTTGGGTGAGGATAAAAAATAAATAAATAAAACAATAAGCCAAATATTTAAATAAATATATAAAGATACGTAAACAAAGTATCGCCACCTCCCACAACCACATCGAAGTTACAACTAAACTACAGACCAACCAACATTCAAAACCCCCTGAAATCCAGCTGAATGGAAGTCCTACAACTACGGAGTTAAAGCACCCGCCACATCAAGACTCGTAGGAGGGGCAGAGGTTGACACGCTGGTCCCAAACCCACGTGTGGCGCATAAAAATCAGGAGGATACCTCGGCTAGGAAGGTCCTCCCTGAAGACTGAGGGGTCCTCGTCCCACACCAGATGCCCTGCACAGGTTTTCAGTTCCAGGAAGAGAAGTCCCCATAACTTCTGGCTGGAAAAACCAGTGGAAACTGAGGCTCAGGGAGGGTTACGCGGCTGGAGCCCCAGGCAGCTCCTTAAAGGGAACGCGCACAGAATTATCGAATTCACTCCCTCTAACCTTGGAGGAGAGGCAGATCGAGGGGCGCCAGGGAAGAACTGAGCTGTTTGGCACTGGAGCGAGTGCTGGAGAGGGGGCTTTCTCCGGGACAAACATGCTGTCAGAGGCCTTTGTTCTTTTGATGAGCCCTTCCCTGGGTTGGCAGACAGTCACCCTATCTAGGACTCCAGCAACCGGATTTACACTGATAGGCCCATCCCGGTGATTCCCTGAGGCCCCATCCCACCCAACTTTCAGGCCCATCCAAGCTGAACCAAAGGATTGGCCTCTCTTGGATGCTTTTTCAGGTTTTCCTAAATTCTTTCAAACAAACAGCATCTGGTCTCACATACCCCATACCTTTCATTAACTAATACACAGAAACAGGGAGGCAGCCAAAATGAGACAAAGAAACAGGTCCCAAATATAAGGATGCTCCATGAACTTAGTGAGGGCCTCAAGAGCATAAAAAAGTACAAGTCAGAAATGATGGATGCACAGTCAGAAAAGAAGAAGGCATTAACTGAAATAAAGAATAATTTACACAGATTCAATAGTAGACTATGTAAATCCAAGAAGCAAATCATTGATTTAGAATATAAAGAAGCAAAAAAAGCCCAATCAGAACAGAAAAAAGAGAAAAGATTCCAAGAGAAAGAGGATAGTGTAAGGAGCCTCTGGGACAACTTCAAGTGTGCCAATATTCTCATCTTCGGGGTGCCAAAGGAGAAGAGAGGAAACAGGAAAACGAAAACCTCCTTAAAACAATAATGGCAGAAAAATTCCCTAACTTGGTGAAGGAAACAGACAACCAAGTCCAGAAAGCACAGAGTCCCAAACAAGATGAACTCCAAGAAGCCCACACCAAGACAATCATCATCAAAATGAAAAACGTTCAAGAGAAAGAGAGAATCTTAAAAGCAGCAAGAGAAAAGCGGCTAGTTACCTACAAGGGAGTTCCCATAAGGCTGTCATCTGATTTCTCAAAAGAGTCTGGGGAATGGGTGAAAAGGTGAAGGGCTTAAGAAGTACAAATTCATTGCTATACTGACAAACCTCAAAGGGAAAGAGGTTGGGGGTGGGTGGGAAGAAATTTTTCTCACACTATTGTCTGTGTCCAATGCATAACCAATGGACACAGACAATAGTGTGGGAAAAGGCAGGAGGGGGACAGGAGTGGTGAGGAGGGGGTCAATGGGAAAAAAAATGAGAAATATCTCTAATACATTGAAAAATAAAAATTTAAGAAAAGAAAGAAAACTCTAAAAAATCAATAAAAACATTTTAAAAAATGAACCAGCTCTACAGAAACTATTTGATTACATAAGAAAAACCAACAGGAATTATAAACATACCAAGAGGAAGAGGAGAGATACAAGGGAATAGAGAGCCTTTACAAACAAGGAGTGATGAGAACTTCCCAAACCCGTGGATAGAACTAGACTATGAAATCCAAAAACCAAACATAACACCTCATTACCACAAAACAAAGACACCCTCAAAAAGGCACATTGTATTAATTTAACACTGTCAGAAGTTAATGACAAAGAAAAAATTCTCAAAGCAACCAGGGAAAAGGAAGTGACCCACAAAGGAACACCCATCAGAATGTCATCCGATTTCTCAACAGAATCTGTACAAACCAGAAAGAGGAGAACCAGATATTCCAATGACTGAAAAAGTGATATTATCAGCCAAGGATAATATGCCCAGCAAAGTTATCCTTTAAATATGAAGGAGAAATCGTTTCCCAGATATACAAAATCTGAGGAATTTTATCACCAGAAAAACTTCATTGAAGGAAATACTCAAGAGAGTTCTTTTACTTAAAACGAGAGCAGACGTTCGTAACACTACTCGTAACATCCACCAATACGTACAGCATACATAGGGATAATTTGTGACAACGGAAACTTAAACAAGGCAGGGAAAGGTCTGAACTGCCCAAAAAAAAACCCAGAAATCAGCTGCACTCAAAAGAACTATCCCTGTCCCGCCCAGTAAGGATCAAAGACTCAAGGGTTAGTTTCTAGTCAAGGGCACATAATTGGTTATGATTCATTCCCTACCCTGGTAGGGGTTATGTGGGAGGCACCCACTCAGTGTGTCCGTTTCATGTCCATGCCTCTCTCTTTCTCTCTGTCTCTTTTCCTCCCACTCTACCTGAATAAAAATGAAAAACTGTCCTTGCGTGACGATACAAAAAAATAAATAAAACAATGAAAACTAACAAACGGCACATTCAAGCAACACTAAACCACTACTGGAAAGGTCTCATCGATGTTTCTATCTCTCTCTCCCTCTACGTCTCTCTAAAATCAATAAAGAAACAATATTTTTTAAAGAATGGCTTAAAATACAATTCCACAGCAATGTGCCTGTAGAAGGAGCAGAGTCCAGAGTGTGTGGGTGCATTTCACATGCTGGGGAGCAGCTGTCGCTTTATAACAGCAGCAGACATAGACCTGGGCTCTCAAAATGCTTCCACTGAAGCACAGCTTCCCAACCATACTGAAGGTCTGGCATCCTCTGTGACCTCTGGACCTCACATCACCTGAATCACCTGCTTCCTCATTCACACCACCCTGGGTGAACAGATATTTTCTTTTCTCTCTTCAAATCTCAAGGCTCTTTGTTTCTGAATATAGTTTTATATTATTTATTTATGAATTTGAGAGACAGAAATATGGATTTGATATTGCACTTATTCATGCGAACACTGGTTGCTTTTTGCATGTGCTCTGGCTGGGATCAAACTTGCAATCTTGGTGTATCTGGACGATGTTCTAACCAACTAAAGGCACCTCAGACATGGCCCAAATACTCTGAAATTTGCTCCAAAAAGATGACCTGGACTGGCTCAGAGACAGAAAGACGTATTTATCAGAAAATAGAATTTGAGTTTTGATAGAGATGCTCCCATTTCCAGTGCAGTTTGTCCTCAGGTGACAAGACATGGTAGAATGTTAGAATATTCTGGAAAATTATTTTCAAAATACTCTTTACTGATAGCATTATTCTAGACAACATGTAAATTCTAGACACTGAGTTCCTAACTCACATACATCACAAAGCCTTTCTTTCTACACCAGAAAACCACCAATTGGCTCCCTGAGAGCAAGGCTCTGAGAGTCTACTACACAAAGCAGAATCCCCCAAACGATGACAAAGTAATAAAGGAAACAAACCCAGCGGCTGGAGGAGGAGCTCTGGAAGGAAGTCATCGTCACCCAGGGAAACCAGGTTCCTGTAGTTCTCCAACATCACATCCAGGTACAATGTCCGCTGAGCTGGGTCCAGGCAATCCCACTCCTCCTGAGAGAAGTATACGGCCACATCCCTAAAGGACAACGGTCCCTAAAAGGAAAGACACATTAACCAAGGGACAGCAAGCAGAGTTCACAATGTCACACAACACAGCAACAGTGTAAGGAGAACTGGTTTTGACCTAGGAGAGTACCCGGAATCATCTATTGACCCAGTAATATTCTCTAGTGGACTTTCTAACACTGACAAATGGAGATGACACGTGTCCACACATCCACTGCGTAGACTTTACTTTTTAGGAAAACACACTTTGAAAAAATTTTCTGAAACATACAATGAAAAGTAAACCTTGAATTTCACTTCAAACTTCATCTACAATTTAAAAATAAAACAAAAACAGGACAGTAAGAGTAAGGAAACCACTCGGCCACTGTGGCTCAGTGGTTGTGTGTTGACAACAAGCACCAAGAGGTCGCCAGTTCAATTCTCGGGCAGGGTTCATGCCTAGGTTTTGGGCCAGGTCTCCAGTGGGAGGCATGCAGGAGGCGGTCAGTCTACGTTCTCTCTCATTGATATTTCTATCTCTCTCTAACATCAATTACATATATATATTGTTTTTAAATCATAACTAAGAAAAAAATAAGGCTCAAATAATGTTATAATTTTATGCACACAACAAGCACACATATGAGAAGTATGTACAATATTAAAGGGATACAAAACAGAATTTTCATCTCACTAAAAGCAAGATGATTTTGCGATTCCATAAGCCTCTTGAATCTATAAGCGAATGATACCCTTGGTGGTTTATAACACAGTAAATAGAGGAACTCACATAATAATAAAAAAAAATCTTAGACCTGCTATTTCTTGGTTGATCTTTTTTCTGAACATTTTTACATACTATTAGTGGAGGGATATTGTAGAAATTTACTTGAACATACAGTAAGAATACGATTCTTAAAAACTTTCTACAAATACAAAGTGATAATGAGTGTAAAACATAATGAATTTATAGGAATAAGGCGTGATTGGTTAAAGCTCCCACATCAAATGCCAATGATCTGTAGAAAATAAAAGGAAGGACTTCATGCCAGGCCAGTGTGGCTGTGGTTGAGCGTCGACCCATGCACCAAGTGGTCACTGGTTTGATTCCCAGTCAGGCACTGAAAATCCCCAGTGGGGACATGCGGGAGGCAGCCAATCAATGTTCTCTCATTGATGTTTCTATGTCTCCCTCCCTCTTCCTTCCTCTTTCTTTAAAAATGAATAAAGAAAAAGAAAAGTAGGGACTTCATATTCCAAAGGAAACAGAATCTAAGAACAGGGAAGTTTCCAGATGAAATGTGATGGGTTTTTTTACATCTCGGATTAAATCCCTACTAGAAACTCTGTCCTGATACAGGGAAACTGTTAGCTCTTTAGTGCAAAGAGCACCATACCCAAGTGAGTATCAGGTGACTGGAGTGTGGATATCAGGAGCCTGAGGCACAAGGAACAAAATGTCCTCACTGATTTGTATCACTGGCCAAAAAACATGAATAAGAAGATTATTCTGTGAAAATGATCACAAGTAAACTTTTGTCACATGTCAATCCACACGTACCACTTATATTCTGTATGCTAACAGTACATTTCTTAACATTTCTCTATTGTTAATCCTCACCCGAGGATATTTTTTCCATATATTTTTAGAGAGTGTGGAAGGGAAAGAGGAGATAGGGGAGAGAGAGACAGGAAGAGAGAAACATCGATATGAAAGAGACACATCAATGCTTGTATCCCCATTTATGGCCAGGGATCAAACCTACAACCCAGGTACCAGCCCTTAACCAGGAAGTGAACTGCAGACCCTTGGTTCACGGACCAATGCTTGAACCACTGAACCATGTCAGCCCGGGCTAAAGGCTATTAATAGTACATTTTAATGGCACGTCTTTCCTGCTAATCTACTGAGCAAGTATCTTCAGAACTTTCTGAGCTACTCTGAGTAGTAAATGTGCATTTTCTTACCCTGATCTACAGAGCTGGTGCTGCAGCCACTTGAATCTAAAACCTACGTTTCCCTATTTCACTGACACCCGAGACTCTGTCCCCATCCCAATAAGGATGTTACATATGTCTTCCATATTTGATCTGTCAGGACAGAGATGTCTGCAACAATTGAAAGTCCCTAATTAGAGGCAGGTATGCTTCCTGACCTGGGGGAGCCTGCAGAAAGTGAATGTACAACCGGCTCTGGGACAAAGGAGACGTATACAACCTGCTGACCTTGACCATCACAAGAAAAAAAAGAATAAAAGAAGTCAGGGAAAACAACCTCAGTAGGCAAGAACATCAGAAATAGAGAAATAAAGGTTGCAGGTTTGAAATCTACCCATGTGAGAGGCAAAGCAGACACAGCCTCTGACCCACAACACATCTTTTACCTGAGAAGCAGCCATTTTGTCTTGGTCCTGCTCCAGCTCAGGGTTGTTTTCTCAGGTGACGTTATGTTCCAGTCAGAGAACGTGCCTCCAAATGTGTTCACACAGCCCCTTAATCAGCTCACATCACCCACGCTTCTGAGGCACATTTCCTTCCTCTTTTCTCAGGAAATAACAGAGAACAGAAGATCTTTATGCAAAAACCTTTGAAAAAAGTTAGCTATTGAAATATACTGATCAAGTGACTTCACCTACTGAGGTGAATCTAGTCCATGCTTCAATATTTTCAAAGAACGGCCCTGGCCGGTTTCACTAGGAGGTTAGAGCGTCAGCCCCACAGAACAATGACTCTCAGGTTCGATTGATTCCAGTCAAGCGCATGTACCTCAGTGACAGTTCATCCCCGGCCTTGGTCCCTCATGCAGGAGGCAACCAGTCCATGTGTCCCTTTCACATCAATGTTTTTCTTTCTCTCTCTCTCCCTCCCTCCCACTCTATCTGATGATAAATGCAAAGGTATGCTGGGGTGAGGATTAAAAAAAAATTATATATATATGTATATACACATATACATATATACAAACATACACACACACAAAGATATTTATATATATACTTTCAGAGAATGGTCAACACGGACTTGAGGAGAACAGCTCCTCTGTGGCTCACAGTCACTAATGCAACAAATCCCATAAAGGGAAAAAGCTACTGAACATTAGACCAAATCACACAACTAGGTTCTGACTGCTAAGATCATTGACATTTTCACCCACTGCACACAAGAAATAGCCTAATATTGACTTGGTACCAATGGAAGTTTTGACATATAAGCAGTGGAAAGGATACAGAGTTCAGCATCTAAACTACACACAACATATTGAAAATGACCAACCTGCCCTAGCCATTATGGCTCAGCAGTAAGAACTCCGCCCGCGGCCCAAGTACCCCAGGTTCATTTCCAAACAAGGGCACATACCTTGGTTGAGGTTTGTCCCTGGCCACAGCTGGGGTTGTCAGGTGGCAATCAATTGATGTGTCTCTCTCCCATTGATGTTTCTCTCTCTCTCCCTCCTGCTCTATCTGAAGATTAATGTAAAAAATATCCTTGGCCGAAGAATAAAAAATATATAAAAGTAAAATACAATGAACAACAACTTGAGCTTTTGTTTTGTTAATCCTCACCTGAGGATATGTTTCCATTGATTTTTACATAGATTGGAAGGGAGGAAAGGAGAGAGGGAGAAAAACAGGAATGGGAGAGAGACACATTGAATAGTGGCCTCCCGCAGAGCCCTTGTCAGGGCCAGAGATGGAACCTGCAACATACATATGAACCCTAGACTGGGAATCAAACCTGACACCCAAGCCAGTCTGGTTAGTTTGTTTTTTGTTTTCTAATTTTTTTTCTTTTAAATCCTCACCGAAGTACATTTCTACATTTAACTTCAGACAGAGCAGGAGAGAGACACAGGCAGGAAGACAGAAACATCGATGTGAGAGACACACAACCACTGGCTGCCACCCACAGGACCCCATCAGGGCCGGGGCATATTGCAACCCAGGTAGGTGCCCTCAGTGGGATTCCAACCTGGGTCTCTGTGGACCGCAGGCCAAAGATCTAACTGCTGAGCAAACCTGGCCAGGACAAGGGGTGTTTTCTTAATGCAATGATTTCTACATTAAAGTTTAAAAAAGGTTAAGACTATCTTTATTTAGAAAAAATTGATAAGAGGTGGTTGGTTATAGTCACAAATGCTTGTTTCATAAGTTAAGGGCTGTGTACAGAAATCAAATACTTAACACACTAGGATTTATATAAGTATGTATTTAAAAACTGAATTAAAGATCAGAGGCTAAAAAGAAAGTCAATCCATGGGACAGAATAAAAGCAACAGGCAGCCTATAGATCAATGTTTCCATTTTCCCCCATCTGTCTAAAAACACAATAAAAAACATATTAAAAACATAAAAATAGAAAATAAAGACTCGAGCACATATATCACAACTTAATCACACCCCAGCAGCTCAGCAGTCACCCAGATCCAGTCCCGGGCTCCCAGCTCCTGTGTGTTTCTGTCTGCAGATCTGTCTGCCTCCCTGTTCCCCTCTCTGCACTGCTGTCCTTTCCTGTTCCCCTCCCCGTCCCCGGCTCCTTCTCCCCTGTTCTCTATTCCTGTCCCTGCACCTGCCCCGCACACTCTGGAAACCTCCCCGCCGTCAGGGGCTCCCGCCTCTTTCTGAGACCCTGCCCGGCCCGTGCCCTGTGCCCGTCCTGCCCGTCCCCACAGCGGGCTGCCTCTCAGCGCTGTGTCTCCCTCGGCCCGTCACCCCTGAACCCCTTTCCGCCCCTGCACTCGCTCCCCAACTCTTCCCCTCAGGACCACGCTCTCCGTCCTGTCGCCCCCACGTCGGCTCCCCAGGCCGCTCCCGACAGCCCTGTGCTCCCCTCGAGGTGCCCTCTCCCCGGAGAGTCTCACTGTCCCCCGCTCCTCCCCGAGGCCTCTCCCACCCCGTCCGCTCTCGGCCTCAGGACCGTCCCCCACGTGCCGTCTGTCCGTCCGGCTCCCGCCCCTCCGCAGCCGCCGCCGCCACAGCGCGCTCCCCGCGGCGGGACCTCTCCGGGGGCCGCGTCTCCCGGCTCAGTCCCCCCAGGGCGCCCGCGCTGTCCGGGCACCGACACCCCTCGTGCGGCGGGAAGCGGGCTCGGGAAGGCGGGGTGCGGACCCCAGGCCGAGAAAGAGGCGAGACGACGGAGGGGCGCAGGGGGTCGCTCACCCGGACCGGGAGCCGCGGGGCCCCGGCGGCCAGGGGACGTTTCCAGCAGGAGAACCGCGGGCAGGCGGCGCCCAACGGCCGGAGGCGGAGGCACCACCTCGGACTCGGACCCGCGCCGGCAGAGGCTCGGAGGCGGGTCCAACCAGGACTCCCGCCGGCAGCGCCCCCGCCGTCCCCGCGCAGGGAGAGGACGGAGGAATCGGCCTCACCTCAGAAAGACCCTCGGCAGAAAAGGGCCGTGACCTGCGCGGTTCTACAACCGCTTCCGCAAATGCGAGTTATGCGAGTTTTGCGCATGCTCGTGCTGGCAATGAACGGGCGGGGTCAGAACCTGCGCTAAGAACCGGGGTTGGGGGAGGGGACAGGACGAGTGGCCCGCTGGGCAGCGACCAGGAAAGCAGGGAGGGGCCTGAAGCCTGTGCATTCCGGGCTCCCTCCACTTCACTGTCGCAGGTGACAGAAATTTTTTCTTCACTGCGTTTGAGTTACCCACATCATCACTGAAATTTTAACACTTCTTTCCAAAATCGATATTATGGGGACCCTCCAAGGATTCAATTTAGGATAAGTCTTTTCCACGCACATTATAGCTTTGAGGTATATTGACAGATGTTTACTAATACTTAAGTCCTGGTTAAATTCACTGCCTAATGCATTATATTTTAACATCTTCCTTTCTACGTAAGAAACATTCAAACCCATAGAGAATTTTAGTAATTGCGGAGAAGCAAAATTTCAACCAATTGACATGTTTCAGAAAGTGGCAATTTTACACCTTATTTCATACATTATAATTAAAAGAGGACTCAAGTGGGTTCTATGAAATACACTGGTCATGATTTAGGGAGGTGGGAGAAAGTAGGAACACCTGTGAGACTGGAGGAAAAGTAAAATCACAGACACATACATCTTTTATGTAGGTGGCCACAGGACAGTTAACAGTCAACAATTACCACAGTATCAAAGAAAGGATAGATGGTCTTTACCCTGAGGTATTGGTTGTGCCCTAGGAAACTGACTGTGCCCTGACAATTGTGGAAAAAAGGGGAGTTACAGCCCTGGCCAGTTTGGCTTAGAGGTTGGAGCATTGTCCAGGGGACCAAAGGGTCACAGGTTCAATTCCAGTCAAGGGCAGTACCTAGGAATTTCAGCCCTGGTCCTGGTGGTGTGGGAAGCAACCAATGTGTTTCTCTCACATGGATGTTTCTCTCTCTGTTCACCCACCCTTCCACTCTATCAAAAATATCAATGGAAAAATATCCTCTGGTAAGGATTAACAAAAAAGAAAATAAATGGAAAAAATATCCTGTGAAAATTTAAAAAAAGTAACTGCAACATTGACTTTGCATTTTATAATTATAACCTGTTTTACCACTTTTTTTGTTTTGTTATCTATTTCTGAACATTGTGGCATATGTGGACAACAAAGCATGTAAAACAGAGTCTGAAGAAGACAATGGAATTTATTTTTAGCTCAAGAATACAAAATTCTGCCCTCCCTGGGTAGCTTAGTTGGTTGGAGTGATTTCCCAGTGCACCAGGGTTGCTGGATGGATCTCAGGTAAAGGCAGTTACAGGCATCAACCAATAAATATACAAACAAATGCAACAATGACAACAATAACAAGAGATTCGTGAATTCTGCAACACTTAGTGGGGAAATATATTCTCTGTGATATAAATCCAAAAAGAAATCAAATTAATCATGAAATGCCCAATAGTTTCATCCCATTCTATACCCACAATTTAAAATTTTCCATTAATTTTTTATACAGAGAGAGAATGAGCAACAGGGATGTGAGGGGGGATCATCGATGGGCTACCTCCTGCATACGTCCTACAGAAGATCAAGCCTGCAACATGGGCATGTGCCTTGACTGGGAATCGAACCAGAAACCTTTGGGTGTATGTACACCCACAATAATTTTGGTCTGATTTGTTAGATAACATCTATTATGTGGAACTATGTTTCCGTGAGAAAGATTTCATCTATGGAGAAACAGCAGAATTCTGCGTGCAGTGAGTAGAGATCAGGGGATGTAAACTCAGTCCTGGGTTTTGGAAAGAGAGTAAGAGGGAATTTTTTGTGTCTAAAAGTAGTATATCTTCCAAGTTTTCTATTTCAGTCTAAGCATTTAGTAAAAATAATAAAACCTTACTAAAACTTAATGTTTTAAACTACTTTAAAATTTTCAAAACTTACATTGTTTCTGA